CCCCCCCCCCCCCCCCACTGCCCGGTCATTTTGTGGCCAGCAGGCCCAGGTCCCTGTACACAAGTGCCCTTCACACCCAGCAGACAGTAGCGGTCCCCCTCCGTCCTCCACGCTGAGGCTAAAGGTAAAGATCCTGTCTCCTGTTGGACAGGACCAGCGGCTGAAAGAGATTGGCATACAGACCCCGTCGGCGTCCCCTAGCACTCAGTCGATGGGGAGCGCCAATGGAAGCACTGTGGGGGTGGACCCCTTCGCCAACCCGGCCCCGGCCCCTGCCGCCAACAGGTACAACGGGGGCGGCGTGAGCAGGGAGGATATACGGCTCGCTGAGCCACGTCCCCTTCTGTCTCCGCCCGGGCCTCCTGACGCTCATTGCTGCCACTCTGTCCTCCTCCAGTGTGCCAAACCTCAGCAGTGACCTGTTTGACCTGCAGCCTGCCTTCGTCCCCACAGTGCAGAGCACGCCCGCCATCTCCACTGTCAGCAGCGCCTGGGGAGGTAGGCTGTGTGCTGTCACACCGGGGCGTGTCCGGGTGACAGTGTGTCCTCACACCACAGTGTGCTTGTCTGTGTGTACTGAAAGCTAGGCTGTGCGTGTGTGCGTGCGTGTGTGCGTGCGTGTGTGCGTGCGTGTGTGCGTGTGTGCTGTAAGCTAAGCATGTTGTGTGGCTCTGCTAGTGTCTGCATGTGACCTGCAGTGCCCCATGTCGATGTTGCCTGGATAAATGACGGCGTGTGCCGGCTGCGAGGTGTCCGCACATCAGCCTGCAGGGGCCTCTCTGCAGTGGAGACCATCTTCATGTCTGCTTATAGCAAACAGCCCCATGGCTGTGTGTGTCCAGCAGTAGCTGCACGCCGCCTGGGGATTCTGTTTAATGTAGGTTTCTTCATGCTTACGGCTTCGTCCCCTGTGAGTTTTTGACCTTATTTGCGTCCCAGTTCCTCTCGGTGTCCTAATCTCTTTTGCTTGAGGACGTTGATATCAGTGCCATCCTGTGTGGTGATCCGGTACTTTAGGACACAAGCCAAGGAACCGCCATCTCTGCGCAGATGTTTCCTCGCAGGCTTTGCACTGTGTCCACCGCTGAGCGCGTGCGTTCCTGCCAGGGGACCGTCACAGTCCTGCCAGGGGACCGTCACAGTCCTGCCAGGGGACCGTCACAGTCCTGTGACATGCAGAGCCTTTTTGTGTCATATCTCTCAATATAAAGATTGTACATTTGTCACATTTTCTGTGTTACTAGGGAATATTTTGCCATCCAAGAAACTTTAACTTGGCATCAACGATTTAGGGGAGACAGAATCAGGACTTGCAGGGAAAAGCTGTCTATTAATTGCGAATCACACTTAATTTTTGTTCTTGTTTGTATGCTGAGGCATGCTGACTCAGCAGTCGTTCAGGAAAACGAGCAGCAGGTGTTGGCACCTACCAGGAATGCAGTCATAATTTTCTGATGGCAGGATGGGTCTCTTCTGGGGACGCCATTGGCTCGCCGTGTTCTGCCTTGTGATATGTTTCTGTTGGTGTGATGCTGAATCACTCACTGCGTTGGTGCCAAGGAAGAAAATTCTAGATTGTCATGCTTGATGGAGATGCGGCTGTGACGTCAGAGCCCGCTCGTATGTGGCAGCTCCGTGCTGACGGGGATGCATTTCGGTGCCCGTTGCCAGGCACCCACGTCTGCGTCAGAGGGTTCCCTCTGGGTGGTTGTGTGTGGGAACTGCACGTTCTCGGCTGCGCAGGTGGACGCAGGCATGTTTACCCTCTGTGGCTACGGGAATGCAGGTAGAGAGAGAGATGTTATGAAAGCAGACCGGAGGGCCGGGGAGGGGTCCACGTGATGCGGCAGTGTGCTGAGACCTTGCTCTGTGCCTGCTTTGTCCCCCAGGTGTGGAAATCCATCCTGTCCAGCAGGCACCCCCATTGGCCGCAATGAATGTAGATTTTGATGCTGTGTTCGGGAGTAAAGTTTCCAGTAACGATGTGAAGCCTGCATCTGGTAAACTACAAACACGCCTCGAACCTCAAGCTAAAACTCGAACCCGAGCTCGCCGGCCTCCTCCGTCTGAGTGCCGCTACTGCCTGCTTCCGCTGGGTCCTCTGCTCATTACGGCGCACCCCCTCCTCCACTCTGCCTGCTGCAGTCTGACACCTCTTGTTACGCTTGCAGGTTTCTTAACGGTGGCCCTTGGGGGGAGGGGGCCTTGAAGGGAAGTAGCAATTCTCCTGTGGTGTCCTCCCTGCTCACGAGCCCCTCGCCTGGCCTCGCTGCTCCTCCAGCTAACCCTACCCCCGTCTCCCTTTCCGGCGTGTTGGTCTAACAGCCAGGTTCTGCTCTAATGTGATCTGTGTCTCTCTGCCTCCCGCCCTCCCGCCCTGCGTGGTCGTCCGGCCGCCCTGCTGATCTGCGCATTGCTGGTGAGTACATCCTTTTTTTTTATCCCATGTGGGTCTTTTTGCTGGGTAAGCAGGAAGGGTCTCCCTGAACGGCGCCTGTCTCTCAGCGGCCGCTGCCATTTCCTGAGCAAGCGCTGCTTTGCTGTCCTGTGTCCCCCAGTCTGGCGCTCAGAGGCGGCACGTTCACCCTGCTGACCTTCACCGGCTTCCCTGTGCCGGCATGCCGGAATCGGCCCGGAAACCGTGAGCCGGTTTCTATAGAAACGACTCTGACAGAAAAGGCTCTTTGCGTGATGTGTGAATCGGCTTCCTCAGACGGGGACCTTTAGGATATCTGCACTGTCCCTCTCTCCTGGCACAGGTTGGCACACAGGAGACCTTCTAAAGCCCACGGTGCCCACGCAGAGTCTGGCCCCCGGCATGCCCCCGCACCCCGGAGGGAAGCTTCTCGCCAACGACCTCGACTCGTCCTTGGCAAACCTCGTGGGCAGTAAGTGGACCGTTGGCTCTCGGTGGCGTGCTGAGGATCCGTGACGATGCGCTGCCATAGCACCGTCTGTACCGGCTCGTGGTGCCGTTACCCTCTGGCTGTGCGGACAGTAATCCAGTCCAGTAAGATTAATGGCTTCCCAGAAGGAGCCGTTTGCAAATGAACAGACACGTCGGATGATAGCATCCAGAGCGAGGCCGTCCATTCACTAGCTGTCGCCTGTCTCTGTTCTCTTTCACAGACTTGTATTTCGGAGGGACGCCAGCCAAAAAGTGAGTGTTTCCATTTCTGAAATGCTGTCCCGTTGATTTTGCGCCCTGAAGGTATCTGTCCACGTGTCCTGAATGTTCTGGCTACCCTCAGGCCGGACATGCAGTGGAACCAGCTTGGTGAGAAGAAGCTGACAGGCGGCACCAACTGGCAGTCCAAGACCATGAGCACCACCGCCGCCTGGGGCCCCGCACCCATGGCCCCCGCCCCCATGCCCGTACCGCCCATGGTGAGTGTCCTCAGGTCCTCCTCCCCTTAATGAATGGGATGGAAAGTCAGCTCAGCTGCTGTGTCCTGGTGTCGGCCGAGGGCTGATTACACTGTACGTGGCTAAAAGCCTGATCTGTGCCTGATAAAATGGGGGGAGGGTTTTAATGCCCATCTTCACCAGCTCAATGCCCCCTTGTCTGTGTGTGTGTCTGTGTCGGGGGGCTGGCTTTAATGCTGCTCAGTGACACCTCTTTACTGTGTGTCTGTGTGTTTGGGTGGGGTTTGAGCAGATGCCCCCTCCTTACTCAGCTGTCCTCCTGGCTGCAGTGCTGCTCCCCTTCCTGCCCCCTATCTTCCTGCCCCCTATCTTCCTGCCCCCTATCTTCCTGCCCTCTGCTCCACTCTCAGAACCTTTGTTGCTTCCCTGCTTCTCACTGTCTGCTCTCTGGTGTTTCCCTAACGCTGCAGAATGGCATGATTTACGCTGGTTATGTAAGTACCGCCTCAGCCGCCTCTCACGGTGCCTCTGTCTGCTCTGCTGCTTTTCAGCAGGTCTCGGGGATTCCGCTTCCTGTAAAATCTGCTCCGTTCCGTTCCGTCGTCGCCTCATGTCTGTCTCGAAGTAGCATGTGCGGTTTGTGCGGTGAATACGGCTCTCAAATGGCTGGGCATCCTGCATCCTCCCAGTGGTTTTTGCATTAAATAATTGTGCATTTCATAATTAAATCTTGATACAAGTTCATTTTTTAATCAGCCGTTATTGTCTGAAATTCCCCAGTTCATTTCTCTTGTGTTGAAACAAAGCGTCCAGCCCACGTAATTACGTCTGATTAGGAGGACTGGAACGGGACGCGTGTCACTCAGAAACGCTGCTGAGTGTGTGTGAGACAATAAGAGAATGAGAACCTGTAGCTCCACACAAAGTGGTGCTGATCGTCTCCCAATGAGCTGCCGGATTCAGCGCAGAATGAGCCTGATTACAGCTGGTGGGCTGCTGCATCTTAAACAATTACAAAAATAATTACGGTAATCCTTAAGCACGTTTAACCTGCACCAGACAATGGATCTCTAAAAACACTAAGAAATCAGACCAGCCTTTAGCCTGTATTACATTTCCCAAAATACGAATCGTATCGCAGAAGTTAATTTTTTAATTTTTATTTAATTTTTTTTTTTTCCTGAGCCGCATGATCTGCGTGTGATTACCGCCATTAGCCACACTGAAAGTAGTTCTGCTTGACGCACTGTCGTTTCAGCCGGCCCCCCCGCCCCATGTCGCTGATGCCCCTGTGCTCTCTCCTTGTAGACCCCAGCCCCGATGCCGTTTCCCATGACGACACCCCAAGTGCCTGTGTATGGAATGGTGGGTCCCCTGGTCCACAGCCACAGTCATGTGGTTTATGGTTGCCATTCATATTGGGGGGGAAAAAGCAGATTCAGCAGGTCTGGCAGACCCCAAACTGGGCAGCGTGTGATTGGTTGTCCCCCTCTGACAGATCCCCCCGCAGATGGGCCAGATGGGTGGAGTCCCAGTGATGGCACCTCAGCCCATGATGTACAACCAGCCTGTTCTCAGACCCACCAACCCCTTTGCTTCTATCCCTGGAGCTCAGGTAACTTTGCTTCCCAAAGATTTTGGGAGAAAATGGTAGTAAAGCTCAAATGAAGCTTTATGAACCATTTTCTGCATTTTTTGATCCCATTTGATGGTACTCTTGGTTTATGTTGGGGCATGAATTGAGCCATTTTTTAAATGGAGCACCATCTAGTGGTGTCAGAAAATACAGCATTTGGTTCATAAAGCTTTATTTGGGCATAACTAGAAAACGGCAGATCAGGCAATATGTTACCTAAGGGTTAAGGTTGAAAAGTGAAAATGATGACCTCTTGGTTAAACATGAGGGTTTATCTGCAAATGACCTCTGTTCAAACATCAGCCTTATGTTCTGCTCTCCTGACCAGCTGGCCTTCCTTCCTTCACTTCTGCTTCCACCCCTCCATCCCTCCCTCCCTTCTTTCTACACAAGAGAGGGATGCTGTGAACAGTCCCCAGCCAGGGGGGCATGGTTAACTCTATAGCCTTTATCTCAGCTTGGCCTGTTCCATTATCTGACCTGAGGCAGCAGAACTCAGCATTTCTTCAGAGTGAACTGCTGGCAGGGCATTTTATTCGGATGATAACAGGAAACGGTGTGGCGTATCTTTAGGGGGGCATATGCCTCCTGTCTTGGTGCCTTGGTGCCACAGTGCCTGTGACGCCGCCCTGAGACATAGCGGCTTTGAGTGTCGGTGTTCTGTCTGAGTGATGTTTCTGCCCCCTGCCTCAGTGCCTCCGTGCCTCACTGCCCCTGATGCCGCCCTGAGACATAGCGGCTTTGAGTGTCGGTGTTCTGTCTGAGTGATGTTTCTGCCCCCTTCCTCAGTGCCTCCGTGCCTCAGTGCCCCTGATGCCGCCCTGAGACAGAGGAGCTTTGAGTGTCGGTGTTCTGTCTGAGTGATGTTTCTGCCCCCTGCCTCAGTGCCCCTGATGCCGCCCTGAGACAGAGGAGCTTTGAGTGTCGGTGTTCTGTCTGACTGACGTCTCTGCCCCCTTCCTTGGCAGATGCAGTTCATGTAGTGTCGCGGATGGGTTTCGCACCGATGGCAGGAAGAGAAAGAGGATGGAAAAAGGCGGAGGAAGCATGACCGGAAAAACCAACAGTGAATGCAGAAGAGGATAAAGTGAAGGGGCTGGCAGCGCATGTGCGTGCAGGCCGGGGCGTGTGTGAGTCCATGGGTCTCCCCCTGCCCGGCGCAGGGCCTGGACCTGCCCAACGCGGACCCTGCATCTGAGTGCTCTGCCCCCATCCATTTCTGTCCTGCAGAATGACTGTCGATTGCCCCATGCACTGGATAACCGCTTTTTTCCCTTTGCCTGTTATAGCCCATTTTTTAACTGTCTAAGGCAGGTCCATAGTCAACTTCCTTAACTTCTAAGTGTTTCTAAAGCATCTGTTACCAAAATGATTTCTGTGTCTCTGGTTTGATTAAGGACTGTGTGTGGAAAGCAGCTATCCCAGAATTCCCTGGGCAGCTGTGACCCAGCGTGGCGCCCTCCATGAGGCCCGGGAGCAGTCGCAGTCGCAGTCGCGTGTTTGTGATGCGGAGAACCTTCTCTGTGCTCCCGTCGCATCCCGTGCTCTTTGTTTGCTGGCGTGAGCCCCCAGGGACACGCCTGACCATGAGCGTGTCCGTTCGTTACTCCCAGTGTTTCTGTAGAGGTGTTTTGTAAAGGGGTGGTCTGTGTTTGTGCGCATGTGTTAACGTGCTGTGAGTTCTTGCCATGCATGCTGCGGGCTGCATCTGGGGCAGACCAGGCTCGCAGCTGCCTTGTTTACCTAGGCAGCACTTAGCCAGTTTAAGCAAGCTGGTGTTAGCGTTCCACACTTAATGATTCACAGATTTGGGGTGAGTGTATGAGTGCCTGGGTGCGTGTGGACAGGTTCCTGGACCGGCTGTGCTGATGTGGGCCGGGCTGCTCCCATACCTGTCAGTGCCTGACTGGATGACGACGTCAGCGTCTCTCGAGGGGTGCTGCATGTTCGAGGGCCGCTGGGCTGGGCCCTGGGCCCCCGGGGTGGACTGTCATCGTCATTTGTGTCCCTTACTGTACACCTCTCAGCACAAAACTCTGAAGCTACCAAGTAATAAGTGAATAAGTGCACAAAACTCAATGCCAGTCGCTGGAATGTAGTGAGCGGAATTCTTTATCTGTATTTCCCTGACACAAAATAACCATTGAAAGCACTGTTGTTTTCAGTGAGAATTAAGAAGTAATAATTTAACCAATTAATATGTTGCTTCAATAATGAAAACAGGGTAACCTCCCCAGACAAACCTTTGTGCCCCAAAGCCTAACAGGCTGGTTGTTTCTCCCAACAGTTGTAGCCTTGTGTTCTCATGCCAGTTGTAGTATAGAGTGAGTAGTCCAGTGCAGTACTCTGTCTAAGCCGTCTCCTGTCTGGTACATAGTTTTAGAGCCTCCAGGGTCTGGTAGGAAACATCTCCTTAGGTGACCATGTTTGTAGGGTATTCCGTTAGTATCTCTACACCAAGATCGTGTCCATCTCAATGTCTTTATGGAATCCCAGATCTCGTGTGCTCCTCCTCCTCTCGTTAGAACCTAGAACTCACATGCGGGATAATTTTGTAAAATTTTTCTTAAAAATCTGTATAGTGGTAGTGGTTTGGACCCCTGGAAAGAAGGTTCCTCCTGCCAGCTGCGTCGTGGTGAAGAAATGCGATGTGATTGTTTGGTGTTGGTGGTTGGGCCCAGCTTGCTGTTTCCCCTCTTCTTTCTCAGTTCTCTGTCTTCATCATGCACGTGTTGAGGGCTCGTCCGCGTTCTAGGTGTTGCACGGAACTTGTTTGGCAAGCATTAGGTAGAGAGAGACAGTCATTGCTTTGAAGGAACAGTCTGTCTGAATGCACATTCAATGTTTAGGTTTTTTTCCTGTTTAATTGCACCCTCAGAAGCATGAACTTGTATGCAATGAATGTTATATCATGGATCATTTGTCATTTGGCCTGCCCTGGGGATGCAGGCCTGTCTGTATTATCTAGGTGAAGCTCCCACGGCTCACTGGTGAGCTTGGAAAATGTCTCTTTGGGGAAACTAAATGTTGTGTAATCTGACCATACACATTCCTGTGTGTCTCACAGTAGTTTTCTAAAACCATTTGTACCACAGTAATTTGAAATAGTGCTCTGTTTGCCAGTATAACATTAGCATCTGTAGCGCCCTCTGGTGACCGAGTGTCCTTCATTGTCCCCTGTCATGATGTCTTGGGTCCCCTTGCTGCTGCTCCTGTGCAGTTTTTTGCTGGCGTCTGCCAGGCCAGGCGGCAGCATTCAGAAGTAAATTTCAGCGTAAGTCGGGGCAGACCACACCGATGGGGGCAGATCCTGGGTGGAATCGTGCCGGGGGGGGGGGCTCCCCAGCGATTCGTCATCAGGGAATAAGAGTATCTATTTTTGCTTTGTTTTTTTTTTTAAAGGTCAGTGTCAAACAGTGGACAGCTGCCTCACCTACTCTCGGTATATGTGTGTGTGTGTGTGTGTGTGTGTGTGTGTGTGTGTGTGTGTGTGTGTGTGTATGTATGTATATATATACATACACACACACACACACACACACACACACACACACACACACACACTCATACTCAGCATATTTTTATCTTTAGTTTATTTTCGCAACATGATATACAGTATATTTGCATATAAATGAAGAGTATAGAGACACGTATGGTTTGTATTTGACGCCAGGGGAAGGGTAAACCTTCACATTCGTTCAGGTCCTCCTTAAAGCCAAATGTTCACTCTTTTCAGAGCCCTCACCATCTTGGAATGTTTTTTTTTTTTTTCATTTCTCTGTTTTGTACATTTAATTTATAAAATGCATTATATCAGGAATTAAGACTTGTGAAAGGGGGAAGTAAAAAAATATTTTTATGCATAATTTCATAGGGTATTACTCTTTTTGCCATAAAGAAATAAAATGTCGTGCATCACACTCTGACCATTGTATATATTTATTTGCCTGCAGTTGTACTTTCTTTTTGTTCAATGATGCTTTTGTAGCCGACGAGAAGAAGCAGAAAGGACAGTTTGCGGTCACCAGAAGAACTTCTTTGAAGAACTTCTCAGCACCGTTTGCTAGTTGAGATGAGGTGTATGCAAAAATCCTGCTTTCCCTCGAATTGCACTTCGTGTCGTTACTGTACATACTGGGGTGGGGTGGGCTTGGGCTGTCATGCATGCTTTTCTAAAACCTGTTAAAGGAAGTGATGTCATTTCTAGATGTCCTGTCATGAGAATTTCTATGTGTGATATTTCTGTGTATTGCACGAGGAATGCAGGGTAGATTGTTTTTCCATTCCTATCAGGCCAGGCCAACCAGGATGAGAGGGCTGCTTGAAAATGGCACTAAAAACCAACCATATAATTGGACCATGCTGCAGGCTCGTGGGAGTTCTGAGGGCAGAAAGAAAAATGATTGGTTCAGAGAGATAACTAATCAGATTTCAGAGGATGTGGGTGCAAGCAACTAGAGGAGGTGGGGCCAAGACATCTCATTGGTTGGTCCAGCCTCCTCTACATTTTGATTGGTTTTCTCTCGGAATCAGTCGTTTTTTTCGCTGTGCCCTCAGAACATTTTTGTGTAACTCCCACCAGCATTTTGCTGTCGTAGCACTGGTTGGTCAGGATCTCTGACCCTTCTCTGTGCACTCAGGCTGCTGCTTAGTGTGGCTGCGAGCTCCTTCCTGTGAAAGGTGGTGAAACGCAGCCATGGGTGTCTGCATTGTCCTTACTGCTTCCGGTCCTGATATCTCTGTGCAATAAAAGAATGTAGCTCCTTCTAAAGGTTCCTTTGATCACCACGCCTCAGGATCTGCTGTGCCAGGCCCAACCCTTCCGTTTAACCGAGGTCGTCATAGAACACGGGCTTTCATTTTTTTTTAACCTTAACCCTTGGATTTTGGTGAACAATGCTGCTTTTTCATGCTTAGAGGAAGGGTTAAAGTGATCAGTACTGGAAGGAACACCTCACAGACCACATTTGTCTTCAGGCAATTAGTGACCGAAACCTGTTTTCACCTTGATAATTACCTTACCCCCTTAATTTCCTCTTAGTCCTTTTAGCTTCCTGTAACCAAAATCACAAAATCACAAAAGTGAGTTTTTGGATACAATGAAAGGTTCGCTCTTTGTAAATTAGAAATGTGAAAATACGTGTTGTCGACAGTGTAAGATATGAAAAGCTCATCTGTGATGTTTTAGGATCTGGTATCCTATGTCCTGCTCCAGTTGCCCTTGATCCTTAACCTCTGTTTTCTACCTGTCAGCCTGGTCTATTTCTACTTTATCTCCATTCCCTTGGTAAATGCAGCTTTGTCTGTTTTTAAATCCTCTTCCTTTCCCTGGGTCGTTGTAAAAGATTTCTGCATGTATAGATTTTCACCTGACTTGCCCGTGAATGAAGAACACAAATTGCATTGTAATGTTTGCGATGATGAAATTGAATCTGGTGCTTTCTTTGGTTAATGGTCGTCTTTGTCGGTCTGGGGAATGTGTTTTGCGACTGAAGGCGATTTGTGCTCGTTCCTGTTCAGAAATACCAAGTGCTGATCTTGATTAAGTCTCTTACCTTGGTGTTGTGTGTTAATTTCCATGTGGGTGCCAATACTAACGTCATTTGGTGAACTAAAAGTCTGTAAGTCCTCTCTAACTCCCACCTACCACAGAACGCTGTCCTTATCCTATAGTATCCCATGGATTCTGTACTATGGCTCTGTGCTGTGGTCTGTTATAGTCCTTTTTGCCCATCTCAGCCGGTCATAATCGCAGCCCAGGCTCTGTGACGTGCTGGATGGTTGCAGTGACCATCCACGCAATAGAAGGCTTATGTTAACTAGTGATGGTCAAATGAAGCTTCATTACCCATTTTCTGACACCACTGGATGACACGCTTGATTTGCTTTGGGGCATGAATTGAGTGCTTTTTTGCATAGAGAGCACCATCTAGTGGTGTCAGAAAATGCAGCAATTGGTTCATGACGCTTCATTTGGCCACCACTAATATTAACCTCCTGCTGGGGGCCTGCATATCTCTGATGGTGTCTCTAACAGAGCTCTGATCAGTCTCTCTCAGAGTTCCAACTTGTTGGCTAAGCAAGGCATTGAAGACACCTGCAAAGGAGTGAGGTGCTGTGTGAGGGATGTTTCACCCTCCTTGCCCTTCACATAGTTTAGACTGAGAGGCTGTGGACCCCCCCCCCCATCTGTCACCTGTAATCCACTCACTTCATGCCAGTGTCTTTCTGCGTGTGTGTATTTCTTTTAGACCGGCTGAGATCTGCACTAAACGCTGATCTCTGGAATCCCCTGCCTCTTCTCTCACAATGAGTTATTTCTGGCTGAACTGGAACAATTGTAACACTTCATGCAGTCGTGTCAGTTCTCAGAAAGCCTCTGCCAGCATGGCGGGGCCGTTTCCACACGCTGGGAGCCCAGTGTTTCGTTCCAGCCGTAAGAATAGGGGAATGGGACCAACAGAGCATGAAGACATCGCACATTGACATATCTCTGGTTCTCACAGATTCTATTTTTTGATCGAAAAGTAAGCTTGTATGTACGTTACCATTTTTACATTTAACAACGATGAGCTATATTCCGATATTTTTTGAGATCTTTTATGTGATTTAGATATTGGTTGTATTAGGTTCTGATATGATTTCATTTGTCGGTCAGTTATTTGCTGTTTATCATTGCATTAATAAAACATTTTTGATAATGATTTCTTGTTGTATGTTCATGCTGGTGCACTCCTTCCCCTGTAATTTCTGACTTTCGATGAGCAGGATGGAGCTCCTTCACAGCTTGGATGAGCCCAGACTGAGGGCATCGTCTTCAAAAATCTACCTGTCTGCATAGTGGATGGATTTGAGGATCATGTGTCTTTTACTGTTTAATTCCTCAACTTCCTCTACAACTTTCTTAGGTTAAGAGGAATTTCTGTTGAACAACCTGATCACACCATACTTGAAAAACTGGAAGAAGTTCTTCTGGTCAGGCTAAGAGCAGTATTACAACTGAGCAGAGCAAACGCCCCCTTATTTGGTTGACACTTTAAATCTTCCAGATGGCATCACTACTGTTTGTCATGAGACCTTCATCTTGAATACTGACTGTAGCGGAAAGGGAAGAAGCATATATTACCTGCAAAAGGGGGGATTTACTTTGCCAATTCAGTCTGATTAAAATTCTGTTGCAGAAGAATAGAAGCTACAAGATTTTTACTGTTGTATCTTTGGCTTTTGTGAGCTTTAATTATTCATTCTGAAAGAGAAGCTGTCTTTGCTGCTTTATTATTATTCATGATGACCATAGTTGTTAGGATTATGGAGCAGGAGTACAAGCATGTCTGTCTACATCACTCATGCCTATGGAGATTATGTAACAGCGAATGAGCTCCTCTCTGCTCCCATGTGGATTTCATCATCGTATTACAGCTGCTATGTTCTAACAGCAAGTGCTTGGCCTCAAATGGTAAAAGCAGGTTTCCCAACCTGTAGAATTTAGTGATTGTCATTGGTGACGCACCACAGCACACAACAATAAAATATGTTCTCAGCATTTAACCCATATGTGACATAGCGGGGGGCAGCTAATTCAGCACCCGGGGAACAGTACCTTGCTCTGGGTACCTCAGTGATGTCTTGCTGGTCAGGGATTCAAACCTGCAATCTTTCAATTACAAGTGCGCTTCCCTAACCATTAAGCCACCACTGCCTACATAGCTATTATTAGATTATATTTGCATTTTTTTTCATTTTGCATAATGCGAAAAAGAGAAGGCAGGGTCAGCCACTCGCAGGAGCATTTGTGGATAAAGGGCCTTACTCACTGGCCCAACGGTGAAATCACTAAGCCGACCTTGGGATTCTAACTTATAACCTCCTGGTCACCAGCACCGCGAACAGCCTGCTGATTTTGACCACAGAATTATCTGAAATAATAATAATAATGAAATAATTCTGCTCATGAAATGTTTTGCAGAAGAGTGAGTTTTACAAGTAAGGTTGTGTGTAAAGATTAGCTTTAAGGAAATAACTGACCTTGGAATGCCCTTTTTTGTACTATGACTGAGAAATGTCCAAATAGACAGTTTACTTTAGATACTCTGCTGCCACCTGCTGGTGAGTGTTTTTTGCATCCATCATATTGACTGCAGTCATGAGAGAAAATCCAGACCTGGAATGGAAAACTGTCCACTGTATTATTATTATTATATCTGCAAAACTCAGTTGATATTTTATTTAAAAAAAATGGCTATAAGCTAATGTCGTTAAGATAATGTCTCCAGTCGTTTCAGGTGGAGCCCCCCCCCCAGGATGCAGGATTAATGGTTTATTCCCACAATGTGAAGGCAGAATCTGGCTGTACGTGCTCCTCCCCCCTCTGTCCCCCAAATCCTGACACCTTAGCATGCAGACAGACCATCACTGAATGGTTTTAAAAGCCTGCAGAACAGAGGCCTATTTTACACAAACACATACTGAGTTAAAAATGAATGCGGTTTATAAAAAGGATGGGGGTGCAGCTTGGTAGCAAGCAGGAGCACTGATCGATTTTGGGAGAAAACGTGTCATGTCAATGGTAACACTTTGCTTGTAGCTGTCTTTAATACACTGTAGACACCTTCAGAATGCAATTTAATGGTCTGAATAAGAATTAATAAAGCATTACAGCATCTTCTATTGATAGTCATAACGCTTTATAGTGTGATTATAATGCTTCATAAGCTCCAATGAAGCTCTCCTCTATAAGGCACCACAGATACCCTTTTAAGAATAAGGGCTTGCATGGTGATGCAGTGGTTATCACTGCTGTGTGGTTCCCACACACCTCTGAGACATGGGTTCAAGTCTCTGCCCAGGTTCCAAGTATGCAATGCTTGCATGTTCTCCTTGTGCTGTCGTGGGGTTTCCTCCAGGTACTCCAGTGTGGATGAGGTTAGTTACCAAACTTGCCTGTGAGTGTGCCCTGTGATGCATTAGCACCCCATCTTGGGTTGTTCCCTGGCTTGTGCCCATACCCTTTGGGGTGGACTCCATACCCCCCATGGCCCTGAATAGGACAAGCAGATACAGAGACTGGATGGAAGAATTGGTGAAGTATTACAGCATCTTCTACTGACAGTGATAGGGTGTTATGTTGAGCCTGGCAGGTTTCTGCCTGTCCTCCCCAACAGAGTGCTGTTATATTCCCAGATCCCTTGCAGACCCCGTATCTGTGTAAAAGCGCTGATGTTTGCCGTGAGCGATTGTGCATGCTGATGCCTTTCCCGGTTTCATGCAGAAATACACAGCATTTAGCGCCAGGGGAAATTAAATGCTTGGAGCTACAAGGCGGCGGCTTTTTTTTTTTTTTTACCAGAACCACACTTATTTTTGCAGTTATTGGCAAATGGTTACCATAACAACTCACCTTAAACCAGATGGTTGGCTATATTTTAAAAATGAATATGCTTGATAAAAAAAACTCAATGCTCCATTTTCTGATCGTTTATTCTTTTTCATGACATTATTTTTACGCACTGCTGTACAACATGATACCAGAGCTGCATTTCAAAGAAAAAGAAAATCCCATCACACTTTATTTTTCATCATGTTTCCTAGTAACACTGATGAATATCCTGGTGACTCTATAACAGGCTCAGGAAGGCAGATGCCTAGAAATAACACTATAAATAAATATGTTTAAACTGGTATTCTGGCACAGTCATGGGATTGCAATTGAAATACTTGTGTGCGTGTGTGTGTGTGTGTGTGTGTGTGTAAAATGTAATTACTTTCTGGCAATTCAACACACCCCACTTCGTTATACAGTTCAGTCAGTGACTTGACATTAATGGCTTCATATATCCCAGCTGCACAGTCACACTGAGCTCTCCACCTGCCTGGCATTTAAACAAAGGCTTTGCTTTTAATATGTTCGACCTGGAGCTACGTACCACACTTCTAGAATGCCTACACTTTTACGGTAGTCACTGCAGAGACACAGCCGGGGAGGCTCTCTGCGCCCGGCTCAGTAAGGCTTCCCAAACCCAGCTCCCACAGACAGCCATTGCTTTACTTCCAGGTTGCCCAGTCCTACTGTTTACATTCGAGGCATCAGTGTTTAACTCTGAAATTTCTTCATTTTGTTCAAGCTTTTTGAAATTTGAAGCACTTTCATTTTAGCAAATAAAATATTGTCGTACCTAGCTTAAAACCCACAGTTTCTTTAAAGCTGACTGTCGAATTAGAGTTTTCGATCTAGTCTGTAATACCTGTTTGTGCGCAAAATGAAACAGTATACTGTACACGCCTTCTACACAACTTTAAATTACATATATATTCACCACGTTCACTTGTCAAGAATGATAGTAACACGGGTTAACATCTGCATTTCGAAAACAAAGTGCAAGGTGATGTGCGCTGAGCTAAAAATGGCGGCACTTGAGTAACCTTCCTCCTGGGCTGCAGCAGGAGTGTGCCGCAAACAGTGTCACTCCCATTGGCCAGGTGAAGGAACAGAGCTGCTCCCATTGGCCAGGTGAAGGAACAGAGCCGCTCCCATTGGCCAGGTGAAGGAACAGAGCCGCTCCCATTGGCCAGGTGAAGGAACAGAGCCGCTCCCATTGGCCAGGAGAAGGAACAGAGCTGCTCCCATTGGCCAGGAGAAGGAACAGAGCTGCTCCCATTGGCCAGGTGAAGGAACAGAACTGCTCCCATTGGCCAGGTGAAGGAACAGAGCTGCTGTCATTGGCCAGGAGAAGGAACAGAGATGTTCCCATTGGTCAGAAAAAGAAAACGTGCTTTACTTCCGGCCCCCCAGAATGCATGGGGCTTGGCTGGCATCTGTTCTCACGATAATAAGCACCCGGCCAATGTGGTGCTGTACAAGAGGCCAGTTTGGGCGTAAGACTCCTGTTCTCAGCCACACTAATACTAATAAATTCCCTCAACTAGCAACTGATCCCTTTAACCTTCACAGTTTTTGTTCAAGAAAAGTCTTCCATTTCATTCTCTGACTGTCATTGAAAAAGGATAAAAGAATGCAGGTGAAAGTCTGACCCAGAAATGCTCCTGGATTCTGCTTCTCTCAGGAGTGTTTCACTCTTTGTGCCAAATACAGGTTCACTGATACAGGGTGATGTGTGATGGGATTCGTGCTGTAGAGGGTGCTCTGTCCACTGGCTGGGCAGAATCTTCTTTCAGGATGAGTACAGAAGTCCGGGCTGCTCTCGGACCTCGTTAATGGCCGGCCGAATCCGCCTCACTTGACCCACCTTTGAAATCCCACGGACCTGCAGGAATCGAGTGAAGTCAATTAGAACACAGCAATTTCCTCGCCATTACTGTTGCCTCGCATTTCCGAAGAAGTATTTTAGCGCAGTGATTCATGGTACATTAGGGATTATCAGCATGGGAATAATTACAGACTTCCCTAAAGATGGATTAGCAGAACTAATTTTGATGTGACCAGTTAAAATCCAAGAGTGCAAAATACTGATACCTCGACCTTTCAGTAAATCTCCTTTTTGAAAGGCTGTCATAAATAGGATGATAAAGAATTAAATAACGGTAATAGTGTGCTGTGAATGCACGCCCCACTGTACCTGAGTAATAACCTATAAATAATCATCCAATAAAAAGAGAGCCTGTCATCTTTCACTTTATTAAAGAGATAAAGAGACTAGCTGAACAGGGTAGGTCACGGTTTATGACCCATGATCCTTTCCTGGAACTCTGGAATGCTGCGATGGAAAAAAAACACTGCCCCCTGGAGGGCACACTCTTCTTCTTGCAAACGGTAATCTCTCTGTATTCCCCTAAGCCAGTGAGTCTCCCATGTGCCCCAGGTCCCCCTTTGTGCTTCCTGATCCTGAATACAAATCAACAGATGCAAAAAACCACAAAATACACAAGCAAGACTCTCGGAGGTAGAGAAAAGCAGAGGAGGGAAACAAGAGGGCCTGTGGTGTGTGTGTGTGTGTGTGTGTGGGGGGGGGAGGGGTACGGCGCTATGATAACGACATTTAAAAAGAGGAGGAGTGAGTGGTGCAGAAGCTCAGGCAACAGAGGGCTCCTCTGCCCTACGGTCAGATGACACCTGCCCCGTGTGACATCACTGTAATGCTCTGTTCCCATTGGCCGAGGACCGTGGAGAGGAGGCGGGGGTGTCTTTACCCGGCAGGGAGCACAGCGAGCTGTTGGATTTCTGCTTCTGCAGCTTCTCTCGATCCTTCTTGATCTTGATCCTCAGCTTCATGCCGCTCTTGCTGCAGCCTTTGGACACCTGCGGGCAAACGGTCGTTCCAAAGCGTCAGCAACGTACACCGGGCTAAAGCGGAGCAAAGCGGGGTACGGGCAAGGTGCCCACCTCCTCCTCAGAGCCGTGTAAGATGGGGCAGATCCAGTGCACCTCCCCCAGCTTCTGCAGCTCGGTGCTCAGGCAGCCCAGAGCCGTGTGAAGCGAGTCGTCCTGGTGAGATTCCAGCTGCTGTGGGGGACGACAAAGGCAGTGAGTCACAGTGCTGCTGTATCGGCAAACAGCGCACCGCTGCCTGATAAAAATAAGCATCCATCATTACCGTGACAACATGGCACTCCCTGCACAAACAGCAGGGAAACTCACTCTAAGGGCATGTAGCCATTTGTCAAAACATGCTTGTCTTTGTGGACTGAATGTTTATCTGAGAAACACAAGTTGTACTTCCATCAGATACAAACCACATTTTAAGGACTGATTCTGCTAACACTGCTATTTAAAGTATTACTGGAAAACTCGATTACGTCGACACGGCCTTCCATGATGATTCATGGCATTTTTCTCTGTGAAGTGAGTGATCTTGTTTTCATGCTAATTAAAAGCCAGCCTGATCTAAATCTGTGTTCATGGGAGTTTTACTTCTGAGGGAAGAAGGAAAAATAACTGGTTCAGAGAGATAACCAATCAGATTGTAGAGCTAGAGCGGCTAGAAAGGCTGGACCAGCGAATCAGGTGTCTTGTTCCCGCCTCCTCTACAATCTGATTGGTTATCTATCTCTGAACTAATTATTTTTCATTCTGCCCTCAGAACATTTTTGTGTAAGGAAAACTCCCACGAGCCATATCTGTGTGCAACATCGCTACAATGCCTTAGTCTGCAGCCTCAATTGTAGTTTATTGAAATAATAGCTGTTAAAATGGATCGTGTTCTTTTATCACAAGGGCAGCGAGTGGGGAGATTAACGATGAAGATTTACCAGTTGTTTGCCATCCAGTAACATCTTGGTCTCTGTCTGTAAGGCCTTGGTGCTGCTGACGATGTCCAGCACTGTGGTGCGGCTCAGCAGCTGCCAGTAGAGATCAAATCAAACACCAACATTTCACATACAAACCCTGCCTCGCCTTCCGGATGTCTCCGGAAAGCTCATCCCTCTCAGCACTCCCGGGGCTGCGTATGACGTTATTGCTGGACAAGAGGCATGACGGTATATTATGCCAATGTCTAAAAACTGGGGGAAAACGGTGCGACCTTTATGCAAAGTCTACAGCTTAATAGTCCACATTTTACCAGAATTACAGACCTTCAATGTACATTACAATGATCTGGCTAGACTTGCCAATCTAATGGTGTGGACCAGGAGTATATTAGGAAATGGTGGCCCCAAGCTCAGGCAGAGTGTGCCAGTGAGCACCTCACCTCCGGGGAGGAGACTTTGCTGGAGAAAGCCTCTTCCAGGAGCAGCGAGCAGCCGTTCACCACGTGGGCGAGTTCCTGCTCCAGCGATTTCTGCGTCTTCGCCACCTCCCTGATCCTGCGCATCCGGTCATAAGCCCATTAGAGCCTGTTCATGTTGCTGAAGCGACTTACGGATGGTAACGTGATGGCTGGAGATCAGAACTGCAGGTGAAAACTAAAATAATATATAATAATATAATAAAATAATAATCCAGCCGCTTAAACAGCTGTGGCCATCAGTGCCCTCCTACCATCCTAGAGGAGTCACCTCCAGTTAAATTCTCACACTACAATTAACTTTGCACATCTGCAGGACAGAATAACGATCAGAAATAAGATGATGCTGTCACCACAGTGTGGTTCAAAGCTGTGGTTTAGACCTAGACGTGAGAAACAGGCTGCAATTAAGTGAAGGAAAGTAACCCTTAACCGTCATGTTGGTTAAGGCCCATGACATTTCACATACATCTGCGACCTTCATTTTTTTTTTTGTTCGGGTTTTATTAGTCTGGGACGGCACAGAAGAAATGACAAATCGCAGCCAATAATGAAACGGTAATTTGAGTCTGTTAATTAGGGTAGAATGTAGAGGGACATCATAGCAAATTGTGAAAATAAACAGGGGAGAGCTGCAGAGGCCCATTAACACTGGAGGAGGATGAATGAGTGAGATCATCGGTGCGTCGCTAAATGGACCAGATGGTGAATGGAACAGAAGGCGCTCGCGCTCCGCCGCAGTCGCCGTGGCGACGGCGCCGCGCTCAGGTGGTGCGCACCTGCTGATGAGCGCATTGGCCGCCTGCCCCAGCTGCTGCATCTGGGCGCTCTCCTCCTCCGTCAGGTACTCCATGGACTGCTGGGAATCGAGGCGCGGTCGTCCCGAGCGGTAGATCTCGCCTTTCCGCTTGTCCTCCCACGACTTCAGCGTGTTCTCAAAGGCCTGTGCGTGCAGAAGGTGGGGGGGGGGGGGGCACCTTACGCTGTGAAAAGCTGACTCACTAACACTACTTGGGACTCATACCAAACTTTATCTCATGAAAACAAGTGGCCAGAACAGTGCCTGTGGGTGTCACATTGTCTTTGTGCGGTGAATCGGTCCCAGCATGTCAGCGTGAGAACGTGTCCCTGCATAGACACCCCAGCAGCATGCATGTCACGCTCAAGTCCATAATATTGGTAGGACGCAAGGTTCCAAGACACTAGCCAGGAGAGGGTGCCGTGGCAACCGCATCCTCGCTGCAGCACCTACCCGATCTCTGGTCAGCATCTGAGCCCGGTTCTTGTGGACGATCTCCACGATGCCAGGGGGCTGGATCCAGGCTTCCCCGTCCACCTGCACCGGGACGCCCTCCTCGCCCAGGATGGTGATCCGCACATGCCGACACTGTAAGGGACACCATGCTGGATGAAGGACATTTAGACGCTGGGCTCCTCAGTTTCTGGATCTGTGGCAACGTCGGAGGTTTGGTTTCAACATTGGCAGACGCACATGGTACTCCTACAATATCAGTAAGGACACGTCCACAAACCTACAGCCTTGATTTGTGCCATTCTGTCAGAACGGTAAAGGACAAACGGCAGCTTGTCTCCAGGAGGTGCCTCTCCTGTATTCCTCCAACACAAAGAGCCAGGGGCAGGAATCACAGCCTCTACTCCAGAGGCGTCACACCCCCTTGCTGCCCACTGAGCCACCCTGCCAGCTGCAACCTGAGATTCTGCAGTAACATCTCCACCCATATAAATGGATAAAATCACCTTATATTAAACTGTGAGCAGAGTAACTATATGTACCGGGAATATGTGCTGGATTATCTGCGTTCCTGTGGCTGATAAAGTGATCATATCACTGCTGGCCCCTTGAGCAAAGGCCCTTAACTGCAAATGCCGCTAGGATACTGACTAATCCTGCTCTCCGATCTGCACTTTGGATAAAAGAGTCTGCTAAGTAAATGGATGTGATGTGAGTATTAGCCCCGTCACTAAGCCCACGGTTTGCCCGGACGTGACCCCGCGCTAACGGCCCCGAAGGGGACGGAGCTGCCCGGACCTGGGCGATCCTGTGGTGCTGGAGGCTGATGACGCGGGACATGGCCATCTGCATGCTCCCGAACACCGCTACCACCTCCAGCTTGCGGTCGTCGAAGGACGGCGCCCCGAAGTTCTGCGAGAGACACAACAGGCAGGCGGTAAGGCAAAGGCAGTCGTCAGGCCAGACCGGGCCACATGCCGGGAATAAGCGGAAGGACGGACTGACGTTGTCTTCCTTGGTTCCTCCCCAGAAGTTGATCCCTCCTGCGTAGCTGGGTATGTTGAGCACTGCCAGTCCCTGGAGGCTGGGCAGAGACATGGAGACGCCGTCGCACTGCAGACACATGGATACACGATGAAACCCAAGCATCAGGCCATTTCCTGAACCTCCATGCAAAGCAGGCCAATGCAGGTGCAGTACCTCCAGTTGGACACGCTGCTCTAGGTTTTTATAGGTCTTCTGCACCAACTCTTTGGTCCCAAGCACTCCATACCACATCATATTCTTAGTGCGACTGCTGTGGAGTGAGATTACATCGTGTTAAGTGTCGTGAATCTCTCTGAAGTTGGAGGGTGACAACCATAAATGTTAAGGCGGTCCTTAGCTGTTAGGCACAACCCTGACTGTTACTATACTAAATTCCCTTTTGAGGGACACCAACGGGAGACTCGGTATTCAACATCGCAGACAGGCAGTACCTGCATTTCTTGGGGTGCTCATCTCGCTTGTTGTTGAACTCCAGGGAGATTTTTGCATCCAGGCCAATCCCAAAGTAATTGTTCATGACACATTTTTCCGTGTAGGACCTAAAAGAGAACCTCTCAGCGTGAGAAGCAGAAGTGACTATGTTGGGTTATTATCTCATCCTGTTATCACGATGACAACGCCCCAGATGTGGGACCTCTGCTGTTACAATAAATCCACTGGCATGCATTGTTCTCATGAGACATCTGGCATGTTTGCATCACGACGGCAGCTCTAAGCGGTGTTTAGAGAGCGTGTCACGCCGGCCGGCTGCATGTGAACTCGTGTGCGGTCAGCGTGTCGGCTCTTACACAGAGTCCTCGGAGAAGACCATCGAACCGAGACTCTCAGATTTCTGCAGCAATACAGACGAGGAGCTGGGGGTTATGCTCCCACGGCCTAAGAGGTTTGACGAAAAGGAGCGAAAAGGAACCGGGCGTCATGCAAAACGATGGGCGTCTCAGAATGATGACAAAATACAGCACATTCAGCTTGAGGAACCTTCTTTCTGTGTTGCAATCATCTAAACAACTTCAGAAGAATGATGTCTGGAAGATACTATTGCTTCTCCAAAGCGCCTGTCTTTGCTTTCCACTGAGCATGAATTTGTTACTCACATGTGCTGCCCTCCTTCAGGTCCTCACAATTCTCCTTCTTCACTGAGGAAGAGGAGGACTTGCGGTATATCTGTGTATGTCTGTTCTGTTCATCCACCACTGCCGAGGAGGAATACAGGAGACATATCAGTTCGGCCGTGAAATACGTCAAATACATTGACTTTTTAAACATGGTTTTCCAGTAACACTGAGCAGGTTTAATTTTCAGCTATTTCTCTTTCATAATATCATCGGACTTTTCCCGAATTAAAGCCATGAACAGAGAATGTTTTACTTAAATCTATGGGTTGTTTCTAATTGTAAACAAATGAATAAGGTGATGATTTTTGTTATAAAACCAAAAAATCTGCAGAATTTTTACCGAATTAAGCACACGCCCCAAGACGTTCTGTGAGCCCTGGATATCAGAGTATGTGCTACTTTCTAGAAAACAAACCAGCAATGAGCCTAAAAATGTCACTGTGCCGCTGTGGATAGGGAACCACCCCAGAGAGCATCTGAAGGGGGTTCAGCTATCACAGGAAATGACCTCAAAGGCACCATTTTAGAAGCAGTGTGTCAAAATAACAAGTCTATGATTAGCCTGTCTTGAGCACCTCTCTTCGAGGTCAGCACATACTTCAAAGAAATTGTCTTTTACAGTCAGTGGACAGTTTATTAGGTACACCTGCTGGTTAACACAAACAGCCTGGGCCCCCAAACAGCCAATCATTTTCCTGAAACTGAATACATATGGCATGCAAACCAGGGCCAGGAAGTTCATTTACTGCACGGTCGAGTGTTAGAATGGCTAAAGGAGGCTGCCCTTCGCGGACAGCTTGCTCTACAAAGAGCAAATTGAGGGGGGCGTAAAAAGAAATTAAGGATCGATTATTATTATTATTATTATTATTATTAAGATGCCTGATCACAGTGAATTTAAACCTGGTGTGATTGTTGGTTCCAGCATCTTAGAAACAGCTGCCCTCCTGGGATTTTAACACATCACAGTGTCTGGAGTATACAGAGAACAGTGTGATTAACAAAACACCTCCATTTTGTGGCAGCTACGTTACTCAGTATAGTATGGCCAGACAGCTCCATTACTCAGTATAGTATGGCCAGACAGCTCCCTCACTCAGTATAGTATGGCCAGACAGCTCCGTCACTCAGTATAGTATGGCCAGACAGCTCCGTTACTCAGTATAGTATGGCCAGACTCTTTAAAGCTACCAGGAAGTCCTAACAAACTGGCTACTGACTGAATATTACAATAATGCATCATAATTAGGCTGGAGAAGTCATTTGGGAAGTCAATACAGAAATATGACATTTTGGCTCTGTTTAAAGTTGGTCTTAAAATGTGTCTTGGATATTTGGATTACAAGTGGATAGCGCTAAATACGAGTGTAAAGGAAATATAAGTGTAAACGACCATCACAACGCATTGTGATCCGATCAGTCAAACCGCTAGGTGAGGTGGACTGGGATGCATTCGACCACGTCGTTTGCAGGGTAAATGCTAAAGTGTCCTGATTCGTCCCTGACAAGGACGTCACTCTATAACTGTGCGAGGGGCCACTGACCTTCTAGTGGAAGTGACGCAGGCAGTATCTGAACACCTTTGAGAGACACATGTTCTTATGTTCTTACATGTGTAAATGGCAGTCAATGTGTCTCAGCTGTCCACTAGACATATCCAAGACGTATTTTAAAAGCAAGTGTAAACGGGGCCTTTGTTATGGTTATAATTCAGATCACTATCTGTCCGTCCATCCATCCATCCATCCATCCATCCATCCATCCATTCATACACTGTTGATCCTGGACAGAACTGCAGGGCTTTTTAGAAGCCCAGCCCTTTCCTTACAGCTGTTCCAGTTTGCCCTGTTCTGGAACAGAATGAGCCGACATCCAGCCTCAGTGACAGCAGCTGCAGCTGAGCTGGGAGGTGCCCACCTCTCTCTGCCTGCTCGATGATCTGCCGCAGCGCCTTCTTCAGGCTGTTTGCCCTCAGCATCAGCTGCTCTTTGGACCTGAAGGCCCGTGGGACGCCGGTGACCCCGGACTGGGCGCTCTCATGCCTGGGGACTTGCGACTGCGCGCCGGCGGGCAACAGCTGGGCGTCGGCCTCCTCGCTCAGGGCCTCCACCAGCAAGTTGAGCTTCTCGTTGAGCTTGGCACACTGCGGGCAGAAGGGCGAGGGCTCTCAGGGTCACTCTGGACAGGGCATGGCTGAGACACTGTCAAAGCTCCATGACCGGCTGGCAAATGACGCAGTGACCACCTTCTTGGACATGGTGTCGGCCTCCTCTTTGTTCTCAGACATCTTCTCGTACGCCTTCCCCACCTCTGACACAAAGTTGTTCACTGCCTCACACAGGAACCTGAAAGCGGAAAGGCGGTCATTTCCAGCACAGGCCGCGTCATGGGTTTCAGCTTTTAGGTTTGTAAATACAGACTCCATTGAATAAACCCTGTGACATGATGGCATAGAGGGTTTCTGAATTCTCAGGGTTTCATGTTTGTGAATCCGGTCCTTGGGGACCCTCAGACGGTCCATATTTTTACTCCCTCCCAACTCTTTGGCAGACAGTGCGAGCAATAATGTAGACTGTCTGGTGGTCACCGAGGGAACACCCGAGGGCTGGGTTGGGAAACACTGCTGTAGAGCATCTGGACTTACCTGGCTGAGGTGATGACATCGCTGTGCTTGTCTGAGTCCAGGATCTTGGTGAGGTGGGAAGCCACAGACTCTGCGTAGAGGGATATCTGAGCCTGGAGGCCGACACGGGAAGATGAGAAAGGTATCCGACGCCCTCAGCTTCTCACCGTATCTGAAGTTCTTCTGGTTCTCTACCTGGAGCGGAGAATCTAGAAGGTCTTCCTCTTTGACGGTGGGGGGTGACTGTTTGCTGGGGACCTCATACGTCATCACACTCCATCTAATGACCGGAATGAAAACCACGGAGAACATCTCATACACAATTGTAATGAGGGGCCGCTATTGCGAATGTGGGACACAGGAGCCTAAAGCCACTGAAGATGTGAGTGTTACTTATCACCGGGGGCACAGTGCGCCCCAATATTTAATATGGCTTCATTCACCCCCCGCCCCATAAATAGAGCTTTTCATTAAAATGATTAGGATGTGCCCCCCCTCAACATCAAACTCTCCTGTATACCCTTGCACATCACTTTCATTCAGCTTTGCTGGTTATTGTCCACAAACAAAGCACGATAAAACTCATGTTGTTCCTGATCTCATTAAGGCACAGACACCCCAGCTAACAGTGTCTCATAATGTATGGAGTGTGAAACCCTGCAAGACCCACCTGTGTCTGCTGACCAGAACAATGAGCTCGTCTGATTTATGCCTCTTACCTCTAATGCCATTAAAAGTCATCAGCAAATACAAACCGTAACTGAACCATTTTGTTGAAGTGACATTATTACATTAATAGAGTAAGGCATTAAAAAAGAATTTCCTTATTAGTAACTTTTATAGTCATAAGTATTTTCTTCCTAAGAATTTGTTGGTCTGCATAACTTTATTATTAAGATACTAATAATACTAGTGAAGGAGAAAATTCCTGCATACCATATGCTAATTGCATTTCTTTTAGTGGGAGGAAAACTTAATACTCTGGAGTATTAGAGTAACTTTCATTAGCCATATGTATCTACCGTAGTGGCCCCGGTGGTCCTGGCCTGGTGGAGCTGAGGCCCACCGGTTCAGCGTTCATGGCGAGCGATACAGTACGATAAACTCAGGCGCACCCGTTCAGCGTTCACAGTGAACGACATAGTACGATAAACTCAGGCCCACCTGTTTAGTGTTCACGGCGAGCGATACACCCATTCAACGTTCACAGTGAACGACACAGTACGATAAACTCAGGCCCACCCGTTCAGCGTTCACAGTGAACGATACAGTGTGTGCGTGGTTAGATCAGTCAGAGGAAATGTGCTGTTGGAAGGCAGATAGATTTTTCTTTCTCTTTGTTCATTAGCTCTTAGTAATGCCACATGTCATTTAGAAACTAGACTAGATAGTCTGTAGTGTGATACAGGTAAATTGTTATGAGACTTAAATGGCAACAGTGGCACTTAAAGCAGCCCCAGTGTTTGTGACAGTTTCTGTCATTCATCCAGCTTGCAGTTCACCAGTCTGCCAAGAGTGGCGCATGTGAGCAGGAGTGCGAGAAGCTTCAATCATGTTGAGGAAGTGCAGCTGCAGAGTTACTGAACAAGCCATATGACTCACAGAGCAGCCGGTACCAGTGACAGAGCTATATAGAGCAGCTCAATATGGACACTGTGCGTCACACACTCACAGCTTGCTAGAATGCCAGGATCAAAGGAGATCTGTTACATAATCTGCTTCAGGATCGCTACCTCTGTCCCACGCTCATTACCTGTCCAGCATCTTGGTGGTGGCCCTCTCCAGCTTCTCCAGGATCTGCAGGAGCTGGGTGTCGTCATCACATAGCCCGCCCCAGCCCAGGACGCGGGCCAAGTCGTTCCCAGTGCCCAGGGGCAGGACCCCGAGTTGGCACTGAACACAAATGCACAGGGGGAGTGGGAATCAGGCATTGATCCTGAGCACACGCTACAGTGCTGCAGTGTCGTGCTCCCGGCAGCACCCACCTGCTTGTGTAGGCCCAGTTTATCCAGCTCGGACAGCACCCAGCCCACACTGCCATCCCCACCGCAAACCAAGATGCGAAACGTCACAAACTTCTGGAACAGTCGGAGGCTGCAGGGAAGAGACGGGATTATCCCATGCCACCCTGCGCCCCCCTCTGTTCTGTTACTTTGCATATGTCATGTCACAGACAAGCAATCCAGAAGGTTAGGGTCAAGTGAATGCTTTCTGGGTCTGTTTCTGTTGCATCATTCATTTGACAACCTATGGCGTGTCATGTGACCATCAGGCTCCGCACTCGGGTTCTCTCACCCCAGCTGCGGGCCTCCTATCATCAGGTCGAACACCTGTGCAGGGTTCAGTAGCTGCTTGAACCTGCGCAGGAACTTCACACCTTGATTGTCTCCACTTTTAGAATTGACCAGGACGAGCAGCGGACTGGAGTAGGACGGGCTGGCGGCTTTCCAGAAGCCTGCGGGAGTGCGGGGGGCACCGGGGAAGGAAGAGTGGGGGAAGAGGAGAAAAGGGCGAGGGTCACCAGTAACGATGGACATAAGAGTTAGACCAACACAAACACCATGCATCTAGGAATATGATGCTCATATTAATGATGATCACACAGCAACAGCTAATGAAATCAGCAAGCAGTCATCATTCCTGGCTGGTCAACAGACAACAGCTTCTTAAAGCTCATTACCATCCGAGTCGATGCTGTTGATCGCGGTGGGAGGGATGATGGAGAGCAGGAACTGACCGAGGGAACAGCGCTTGCCCACAAGCTCCTTACAGCTGTTATGGACCTGGACACAAGGACACGGAGTCACATGGACAAGAGGACACATGTACACACACACACACACATACATGCACAAGGACACACACAAAAATATCCATGATTAATCGAAAGGCTTTATCTACTGTTCCCAAATCAGTCATCAGTATTTGTCCACCTCACAACATGGCAGTCAGAACATAACACACTCAGTACTGGTAACATGAGCTGCCTCACCAAGGACTGGGCTGCCAGATTAAAGCTCTCCTTCACGCATGAGCAGAAGGGGCCAAGCCCTCAGAGACACTTCATTAGGAGATCAGAGCTGAAGCTAATCAGAGTCTCCCACACCTCCGTGACCCAGATCATTATGTAGGACATGAATGAGGGTGACACACAGACTGCAGTGTCATGCGTGACCAACAGGGGGACTCACGATGGCCTTGCACCACAGACAGCGCCAATCCTGGAGCCGGCGCACGCTGCCGCAGTTGCGCTCACACGCCACGCACTTGGCGCTCACCGGCAAATTTCCCTCCAGCCACTGGTGCGGCATGGACACCTGCAGCGGAGAGAACGGGCATTAAAGACGCAGGTTGCATGATACAGTGCGAAACGGGAGCTGGCCTTTCAGCTCTTCGCGTTCAGCAGGCCGAGGGATGAGCTGGTGGCCGTGGATGTGAGGTTCTGCATTATCTCACAGTGCAGGAGCACCTCTGCACTCATCCTGCCGACGCCACGTCCTCTAGAGATGTGTTACAGCAGATATGCAGGCGATAGAATGGAAACTTAGGGATCTACGAGCTTTGCTGGGGGTGTGGAAAATGAGGAAACTAAGCCCACTGTATCTTCCAAGGCGGGGCAGTACAGCAAAATAGTTTATCACAATGATTTTTTCCCCATATCAAATAATATGAATAATTATCACAATATAATTCAAGTCATTATTTATTTACTTTAATGGTCCAGGTTTGCTTAAAATTCCCTTTAAATTGCCATTAAACATTCAGAACATGAAGCAGGTGAAACACCGAATGGATTGCAAACTGAAATGTACTTTTAATAAGTTAATCATACAAATAAGTGTTTCTGATGTAGAGTGTAATGCAAGAAAATGCAGACAGTACATTTTCTTGATAGGTTTTTTTCTCTGACTGCCTCATTGTGCATTACATGGAACGGGTTTGACTAAGGCGGGGTGATATGCTCTAAAAATGTTCACAATATCGATCTTAACAAAATACAAACAGTAAAATATGACAGGTGGTTTTGAGTCTTTCTTATGATGACCAAATAGTTTGACAGCTAATTATGGAGCATGTAACAGTTATAATGAGAGAGTACACAAACAACAGTTATGCCTTGATGGAATTTGTGTAAAATAGTGAATTATAACTGTGAATTATGCATTTATCTCACAGACGGCAGTATTCGAGGTCAGTGAAGATGCTTCCTACCCCATCCTCGTCCTCCATGATGTCATTCCCGATGGACGCCAGCGTGGTCCATTTGCAGTTGTTGGTGGACCTCACGGCACAGCGCTTGTGAGCTTTAAATTTGCACACTGGGAAGGCATACGGTCAGACAGACAGGCAGGGTGAAGACAAGGACGATGTGAATGACAACAGAGAGCTCGGCTGATCGGACTGGATCTGCCATGAGGAGATGCTAACGCACAGCCTTTTGCCTCATTAAAACATCATTTTAGCTGCATATCTCAAGTGTGTCTGCACAGCTGCAGGCTAATGAGCTGATAACGGTGGGTATGGGGGCGGTACCTTCACAGGACAGCCCGTGGGATGTGACCCCAGGGAGTGCCTCGCGACATACGTTGCAGAAGGTGGGCCGGGCATGGGAACACGCGTACCAGTTGTGCATCCCAGAGAAGTGGTCCATGTTAATCTGGGAAGCCATGGAAGGAAACATGCCATCAGGTGGGGGGGGGGCACAGCATGTCCCCCCAACCCCAACTCACTCTGCTTCAGAATAGCGCGAGCAAGCGATAAACCGCTAACCTCATAACTCTCCCACTTCTGAACAGATTTCAAGGCTCCAATCCAGTCCTCCATCTCCTTCCTCGTGGCCGCGCAGAGCATTAGCTTCCGGAATGGAGTAATCACCTAGAATGTCAAAGGGGGGAGGGGGTCAGGTGAACCACTGTAGGAGTGTGTTGAGAGAGAGAGCAATGGGAGAGTGAAGGGAGAGCGACTAGAGAGGAAGAAGAAAGCAGTGGGAGAGGGACTAGAGAGGGACGAGAGAGGGATGAGTGACGAAAGAGGGATGAGAGTGAGGGAGAAGGATGGGAGAGGGACAAAAGTGAGGGAGCAGGATAAGAGAGGGATGAGAGAGGGACAAGAGAGCAATGGGAGAGGGATAAGAGAGTGATAGAAAAGGGATGAGAGAGTGATGGGAGAGGGATGGGAGAGGGATGGGAGAGGGACAAGAGCGTCATGGGAGACTGATGAGAGAGGGATGATAGAAGGACAAAGCAGTGATGGGAGAAGGACTAGAGAGTGATGAGAGAGAGACAAGAGATGGACAAGAGGGTGATGGGAGAAGGGATGAGAGAAGGATGAGAGAGGGATGAGAAAGCAGTGGGAGAAGGACAAGAGAGGGACAAGAGAACAACAAGAGAGATGGGATGAGAGAAGGACAAGAGAGCGATGGGAGAGTGATGAGACACTGATAGGAGACTGATTAGAGAGGGAAGAGAGTGATGGGAGACTGATGAGAGAGGAACAAGGCAGCAATGGGAGAGAGACAAGAGAAGGATAAGAGAGTGATGGGAGAAGGATGAGAGAGTGATGACAAAGCAAAGAAAGTGTGATGAGAGTATTATTAGTGATTACAGAGCAATGACAGAGCGCTGAGCGATGAGTGTTGAGAGAACACTGACAGAATGTTAAAAGAATGATGAGAAAGTGATAAAAGAGCAATTAGAGAGTGATTGAACAATGATGAGAAAGCAACGAGAGAGCTGAGAACTGTGAAATGGCATTGAGAGAGCGATTAGACAGCGTTGAGAATGTGCTTAAACGAACGTTGAGAAAGCGTTGACAGAGTGATGACAGAGCGCTTAGTGAGCGATGAGAGAGCGGTAAGAGACAAATGAGAGAAGGATGAGAGAGGGATGAGAAAGTGCGTCAGAGAACTCTGACAGAGTGTTGAGGCAGCACTAAGAAGATGGTCTGTAAGTGCATTGTCACCGTGAAGCTGTTGTTGATGTTCTTGGTGCCGGTCTCAGCGACACTGGCGTTAGACAGGTCAACTTCATCGAATATCAGAGACTGCAGTATCCAAAACACGCACATACACACATAGATTAGGTATCTATATCTTTGTAGGGACTCGCCATTCATTTCTAATCCCAACTATGACATCCTTAGCCCCTACCCAGCCCTAACATTAACCAAGTAACCAAACAAAATACTAGTCTTTTGGCATTTTTGGTGGTGGAGACGGAGGTTTTTCATTGTAATCACAGTTTTTTATAAAACTGAGCTTCCCCCTTGTGGGGACCAAAAAAATAACAGATTTTTATCGCATTGTGGGGTATACCCCCCCCCCCCCGCCCAGTAACACACACACACACACACACACAAACACTTGGAATGTATTCACACAAAACGTTTAAGGAATCACAAATTAAATCCTTTTGACCACAACAGGTCTCCGTCACCTTGGAATCCTTGGCGTAGTACAAGGTCCGACATCGTAGCTTGAAGTATCTCCTCTTCCACCTCTGGAAGGAGCTGGTTTGTTTGAGAAGAAATCCCTCCTTCACACATTTCTAGAAATGAAAGGAAGAAGAAAAAAAATGGTTTCTGTGTTTAATTGCTTCTGAGCATGTATGTGTGTGTGTATGTGTGTATGTGTGTGCGTGTCTATGTGTCTGTTGTGTGTGTGTCTGTGTACTGTATGTGTGTTTCTATGTGCGTGTGTGTCTATCTGTGTGTTGTGTGTCTATGTGCCTGTTGTGTGTCTATATGTCTGTTGTGTGTGTGTCTGTGTCTATGTGTGCTTCTATGTGTGTGAGTGTGTGTCTGTGTGTGTGTATGTCTGTGTGTATGTATGTGTATGTCTGCGTGTGTGTGTGTGTGTATATATGTCTGTATGTATGTATGTGTATGTCTGTGTGTGTATATGTCTGTGTGTATGTATGTGTATGTCTGTGTGTGTGTGTGTATATGTCTGTGTGTATGTATGTGTATGTCTGTGTGTGTGTGTGTGTGTGTGTGTCTTCTTTACACTGTGCCCCCCCCCCCCTTGGGGTGACAGCTGTGGAGAGCCCAGGGTGAGTATACGACTAACAGCTTAACACCAGAAACAAGATCAAGAAAAGCCGCAAATCGCAGACCACCCAGCATGTCCTGGGCTGTCTGTTGCAGACCACAAACCAGCAGCGCAGTGGCAGGAAGAAACACAGGAATACAGGACAGGTGGTGTGAAGATTGGCTAAGCAAGACCCCCGTCCACCTCAGTCTCCCGTGACAGACGATGGCCCCACCTCCGGGCAGCTTTCAAGACAAGCAGCGCCAGAGCATTTTACGCTGTTGAGATTTGCTGGAGGGTGAGGGGGCGAGGAGGTGCATCTGCAGATCTGAGTGTGTGTGGACTGGAAATGGCTTCATACCCACTTAACATTTTGTTAATTTAGCAGACACTTTTATCCAAAACATCTGGGTCAGTCCATTGAGCGATTGGGATTAAGGGCCTTGCTCAAGGGCCCAAGAGTGACATTGAACAGACAACCTTCTCAAGCTATGAGGGTGCACTAAGCCTCACCCCCTACAGGCTACCCATACGGATTACAGGAAGGAAAGAGGACAAGAATCTCTGGAAGAGGAAAAATCTGACAGCAGTAATGTTATGGGGGAGTTCCCAGGATGGTGCCAGACACGTCCTGCTCACCTTGCCCCTATGGTTCCCACGCACTTAGGGCAGAGTGTGCTTGCAGCTGCGTGACACGACACCCTCACGCCAGTCTGCTCCTGTTTGATCGGAACGTGTCACAGCTACTGGAGTATAAAGATTCCAAAACCAGAGAGGACAGATGGCCTCCCTTTGAAACCAGATAAGCAGCCATACGGAAACAATTCTAACCAGTGCAAGTAACTCCAGTTCCTCCCAAACTCTTTTGAAGACATTCTGAACAACGTAACAGTGCCCAAAGCACAACAGAGTCCCCAACGGTAACACAGGCTACGTACCCACTGGCACTCAAATCAATTTTTTTCCCTTAATGTGACTCAGATCTGATGTTTTCAGGGCTGTGTGGACACACAAATCTGATCTTCTCAAATCAGATTTGAGTCACTTTTATATGTGTTTATATACATATCCAATTCACGGCCATGCAACATGAAAGTGAACAATCAGATTGGAATTCACATAGTTTTTTTGCCTAGACACACGTTTGTGTGTTTTATGTTTCTGGTGATGCCGATGACTTGTGAAAAATCGTATCAATGTGCCCTTGCAAGCCCTAAACCTTAAATCCCAGGGCCCTAATCCCCAGCACCTAAAGCATAATCCCCACACCTAAACCCTAAAGCCTAATCCCCACACCTAAACCCTAAAGCCTAGTCCCCACACCTAAACCCTAAAGCCTAATCCCCACACCTAAACCCTAAAGCCTAATTCCCACACCTAAACCCTAAAGCCTAATCCCCAACTCCTAAACCTTAAAGTCATAATCCCCAACACCTAAACCCTAAAGCCTAATCCCCAACTCCTAAACCTTAAAGTCATAATCCCCAACACCTAAACCCTAAAGACGAATCCCCAACACTTAAGACCTGAATCCAGGGCCATAATGCCCAACAACTAAACCTTAAAGTCATAATCCCCAACACCTAAACCTTAATCCCCAGCACCTACGACATAAAACCTAATCCCCAACATTTAAACCCTAAAGCCTAATCCTCAACAACTAAACCCTAATCTCCAACTCCTAAAGCCTGACCTCCTATCTACAAAAGTGTAGCCCCAACTCGACGGTCGACAATGTTAGATGGGCTTTCACTTATACAGAGAAAAAGTCATTTCTGATAAAGATTTAAAAAAGTAAAGTGGTTCACCTCCCGCAGCAGGTTGGTTGCAGAGATAAAAGGCTGGGCTGCGGGGTGATGAAGATTGCTGTGTTTCTCAGGGGAGTCTGTCATCCTAGGGGACACCATGTACCTCATGGCCAAAACTCATCCATTACCTGGGTCTTTGACTCCCCCACAGCTGGGAGTACTATCCTCCCCCCCCAACATGAACCTTCAGTCCCTTCTCAGCCACATCCGCTCACCCAAGACCTTGCTGTAGCAGAATGACATGTAAGAAGCAGGCGCCCCTGTCCGCCCCTCAGTTTAGCTTGAACAGGAAGTGAGTGACAGAGGAATAGATTTGCTTGCGCTGTGAGCAGGAAGTAAGTGGTCGCTTGCCGCTCATATAACATGCCTGCATTGTCACTCCATTCCTATCGCCTACTAACCTGCTCACATGGTCAGCGGGCTGAGCTTCCTTCTAGGAGCTAGTCAGCAGAAAGCTTGCAGCCGCTGCCGGCTCAGATAGCGTAGCTCAGAGCTCTGCCCATGAACTTCAGTGGTTAACCGCTTGCCTTTCTGTTGTTGCTACAGGGCCAGGTCAGGACAGTATGGTCTGGCTCAGAAACGAGAGGCCCGTAGGCCTATCGCCAGCCCTGGGAGGGAGGTGCTAGTGCAGCAGCTACACCCTGACAAGTCCACCCATTCTCTCTCAGGAACAAAGCTGGCAAGTTATTCACAGAGTGCTGGGAACTGAACCACAGCAGGAAGGAAGCGTTCAGAAACACCAGCAGATGGATTTTGTAATTAAACTGAAAAATATTGTGATCCAGTTGCAGGTAAATATGGACTAGTCATCGTAACGGCAAAACCTAACCTCAATAAAAACATAACTAGGGGGCAGTCACAGTAACAGCAAACCCCAAGCGCTATAAAAGCACCACTAGAGGGCAGTCACAGTAACAGCAAACCCCAAGCTCTATAAAAAAAACCACTAGAGGGCAGTCACAGTAACGGCAAACCCCAAGCTCTATAAAAGCACCACTAGAGGGCAGTCACAGTAACGGCAAACCCCAAGCTCCATAAAAGCACCACTAGAGGGCAGTCACAGTAACGGCAAACCCCAAGCTCCATAAAAGCACCACTAGAGGGCAGTCACAGTAACGGCAAACCCCAAGCACTATAAAAGCACCACTAGAGGGCAGTCACAGTAACAGCAAACCCCAAGCTCTACTAAGGTATCAAGGTTTCTTCCTTCTCGGGAGTTTTTCCTTGCCACTGTCGCCTATGGCTTACTCACTGGGGGCTTTGGGTGGGGATGCTGTAGAGAGCTTTGAGACGATGTAATGTTGTGATAATGCGCTATACAAAAATAAATTTGTTTGTTGTTGTTGTTGCTTCCGTCTGGATGTGTGCTAAGAAAGGCCACCTTGTCAGACTGGGGGACACTCTGCCCCACCCCCAGCCCATGTGACCCCCCCCCCCTCTGAAGTTAGGGCGGGGCTATGACTTTGATGCCCCCTTTTATTAAGGCAATAATGTTTTTGTTGCGGACAGCTGGGCTCTGTGATTACACTGTGTTGATACTTCCTGCTACGCATCAGCCTGGGAGCACACTGCAGTGCGTCCAGGAGGGAAAGTGCAGTCACACAGTGCACCGTTCAGATTGGGCAGGAGGTCTGTCCAGCTGGTCTCCCTCTAAACGTTCACGTGGAGCATAAGACTCTTGGCCAGCTACTGCCCTCCTCTCTAGCTCCACTACCAAGACCTTATTGTTTGGAGCTAAACAAAAGCGCACAAAAGACGCCCTTGATAGGCTGGCTCTGGCCAATGGGGGCAGACATGCTAATAAGTCCCTTTGATCTCCCCTAAAAGGCCTTCCCACTGCATGGTGTGCCAGCTCTCCATAGACAGGTGTGTCTCGTGGTGACTCCCAGAGAAGAGCTCTAAAAATAGATCCGGATAACCCGGGCATGCCGTGCTGAGGTGTGCGTGGCTTCCAGCATCATCTGCACGAAAAAGCTGCGGCAAAGGCATAGCAACTTGTGGCTGTTTCTGCTACCCTGAAGAACCATGGGAAGATCTCTATGAATAGCACACCTGTGATTCATCTAACCAAAAGCGCTTTGTATAGAGGGAGATTAATTTGCCCACAAAGCGGACTAACCAGAAAGGTTATGAATGAGCTTAGGTACAGGGCAACCCGAAGGAGGAAGCTCAAACAGACCCCAGATGGGCCGTATTCCCAGGAGACTCAGGCCTGAAGCAGACAGAAACATCCTTGCAGAGAAAAAGGCGTGATCTAAAGGGGATCTGAAAAGGTGACATGTAACAAATCTGCCCCAGTAACTGGGCTGTGTCAGAACGTGAGAATGGGACACCTTGATGAGATCTGGGTAGGAAACCAGCTTCTAGGATGATCTCCTCCCTAGGCACACAGACCGTTTGTGTTGTGCCATAAAGTAAACCTCCTTTTCAGACATTATCCACTCCTGGATCACTGCAGCTCAGACTGGATAACTGGGTATTTATAAGAGACCAGAATATTTCCTTTGAAGCCTTTAAAGGCAGATAGGACCATCATCTCAGGTTTTGTGAACCATGCAGTTCTACTTGCTACCACCAGAGGGCGGTGCCCACAGAATGAGGTATGGACGAGAGGTGCAATCTTTTGCATGTCATCCAGGATTAAAAAAAACTTACAGGTTGTGTGTGTGTGTGTGTGTGTGTGTGTGTTTGCGCGTGAGATTCTCCCATT